CGAGTAGCAGCAGGACTGCTGGCTGCCATGGGGCTGCGGTGGCTGGGGCAGCTGCTTGGGAAGACGGGTGGTGGGGAGGTGGCACGGGGCAGGATTTCTGTCTGTCCACCAAGGGCTCTCTCCTCCCAAGCAGGTCTCGGTCTGCATGCCACGCTGAGAAGCCGAATTGCTACCGTCAGATATGGGCAGAGTTTTGAACTCGTCTGCCAAGTGAGTGCCAGCTACACCTTTGAGGAGGTGCCAGTGTCCGTGGGGTGGCTCTTCCAGTCCAGCCCACCCACTGGCCAATACCACGAGCTGGGTTCTCCTTCCCAATGGCACCGTGGTCTGGGGAGCAGTGCAGCCACACTTCCAGGGGAAAGCCCAGCTGATGAAGGCTGCCACCTCCTTCAGGCTGCGCATCCACAACGCTGTGGCTGCTGACGAGGGGACATACCAGTGTGAGGTGAAGTCCTGGAGGAGGAACACCCCACCACTGGGGCAGCCAGCGGCCACCACCAGGTCCAATGCTGTGGGGATAAAGGCGGTTCTGCCAGGTAAGCAGTGCCATGGGCACTTCTTCAGCAGAGGTATCTCATTCTGCAACTTTAAATCCATCAAGCATGACCAGGGGCAACCAGGACCACTGATGGCTGAGGTGTCTGCAGCAGGGTCATCTCCCGAGGCTGCACGAGACAGTGCTGGCTGTCCTGTTTCTTCCTCAGCACCCGCAGCTCCTGACAACACTCTTGGAGGAAAATTTGGTGTTGGGGAGTGACGATGTCTATTTGTTTACAGATTATGCCAAGCATACAGGGATCAGCCTCACCACTAGGATTTTAAGCCTTGCTTCTGGGAAGAAGTAGCCCCTCCCAAATAAGCCCAGTTGAATGCTAGGGGTGCGAGGAGCCTCCCATGGAGCGGGCTTCTGGATGGCAGTGGAGACAGACCTGCCCACAAAGCTGGTGCTGGGATACGTTTGTGTCCCCCTGAGCTTTCCTCGGTGTATTTGAGGTGCGCTGAGAAAGCTCCAGGGCTCTGCGCTGGGCTGGGTGCCAGCACGGAGCCACAAGGTGCTGGGGGCTCTGGGTGGAGGCATCTCCTCCCGGGCATGGCGGGACTGCGCGGCCGGGGGGGCCCTGCCCAGGGTTCCCTTTTATGGCCAGCTCTGCAGGCAGGGTCTGTGCTGCCACCCTGCCTGCCAGCATCACGCCGGCAGCCTCGTCCTCTTATGGAAGAGAGATGTTGCAAATACACGGCAGCCCCCGCAGCCAGCCCCCACCACCCCTGGCAGCAGCATCATGTCGGTGTGCCCTGCTCGCGGCTGGGGCTGCGGGAGGAATTGGAGGGGTTGTTCTGGCCAAAACCTCTGAGCTTGCAGAGGTAGGCATGAGAATACCAGGATTTGGTGGGTTTTGTTGTTTGTTTTGTTTGGTTTTTTTTCCCCTCATGTTTGTTTTGCCAGCAAAGGAGAGTTCTTGCTCTTTTTTTTCATGCATTAAGTGCTCCTTCCTCTAATTCTTGGGTTTTCAGGAGCACAACCCGGTGAACTGAAATTATGCATTTTCCGTGTTTTTTAGCTGATGGGTTTGCTGTAGCGTGTGCTGACACATTTCCTTCCCTGTTCGGGCTCGTTTCCATGGTGCTCTCCCTCCTGCTCCGCTGCTTCTCTTTCCTCGCCCCTGCGGCGCTGGGTGCTGGGGTGCTCTGTGTTACACCCCAGCTACAGCCGGGGGCAGGGGGTCTGCAGGGTGGTGGTACTGAGGCTAGGGGCGACAACAGACAGCATCTGTGAGCATACATTAGTAGTGTAAACAGCATTAAGATGAGCAGGTTTAATTGTAGAGCGTCTACGTGGAGGAGGTGGTAGCAGCGGAGCAGTGAGATATTACGATGTTTGGCTCCAAGCGTATTGCAGCTGGATACTGGATACTATGATGCTGTAAAGATGGTGGGAACTGGGAGGCGGCGATACGCAGTGGGAAGTGGCTGCTGACTCTGGTACCGTCTCTCTCAGAAAGGCATCACAAGCCAGCGAAGGATATTTGGGAAGGCAGAGATGTAAATCTGGGAAGGCAGCCGGCTCTAGCAGCAATGAGATGATGCAAAGCTGCAGAAAATGAAGCTGCAAATCATGAAAATCACCAGCTGGTTTCTTCACGTATAAAATCTTATGGTTGGAGCCTACAGAGATCCTGGAGTTCTTGACTTTTGCTTCAGCACTTCATTTACCACAAAGCACCTAAAGGACCACAGTCAGTGCTTTAGGTGTTTAAATGCCACTGTGGATCTGGCCTATAACTTCAGACAGGAGGGACATGCGTGAAAGGTCGTAACAGGAGGGGAAGGAGGACGGGTCTTTTCCATTTCTGACTGCTTAGGTAGTTCAGCATCTGACTCTTGGTGGAGTCCCATAATTAGTGCCCTGGGCAGGCAGATGGAGATCCAGTCATACTGCGCTTTGCTGCCCAACCCTAGCGGGGATGCTTTCATCAGCCTCCCAGCACAGCTGCCCACGGTTGGCTTGCCCCAGCTCCTGAATGTGCCATGGGGGCTTTGCCCCGGCCGGCTGGCATGGGGCTCTGCAGCAGCCATGCCCTTCCATGTGCTCCACTGCTCCCGGGCCGGGCGGAAAGCGTGGTGTCAGCAGGCAGGGTTCACAGAGAGATGGGCAGCGAGAGGCTCGGCTTGGTTAATTAAATTGAAATTGAAAGGGAAAACAGCACCACATCTTTCTGTGCCAAAGGAAAAGGCAGGCAGCTGCTCTGCCCTTTTCGGTAATTGATCTTTAGCAGGAGCGAGAGGAGACTCGGAGTTGAAAGAAAGGGGCTTTGCAGCAAGTGCTCTGCTTCCTCTCGAGGTGATCTTCTCTGAGAGCATAACAGCAATTTTTCTCATCAAAATCGAGTGCTCACAGCCGTGGTTCCTGTGGCTCCTCTCTGAGCTCCAGTAGCTTTTGATTCTCTGGATTATTTTCTGCCCCAGTGGGTGTCAGGCCGGGCTATACCCGAGCAAGAGGCTGCCCCGGGCAGTTTGCTGTCTCCTGTGCTGGCAGCCTCTCTGGGTTTGGGGAAAGGTCCTGGGTTTTACCCGCTGACTCTGACTGCAGCAGTACTGTCGGGAGGAGCTCACTTGGAGGGAGGTGCAGGTTTTGTTCCAGCACGGCCCCACAGCTGACTTCTCTGGAGCTCCTTTTTGCTGGGAGAGGTGGGAAAGCTGCTTGTGATGAGTGGTGGGGCTGCTCTGCTGGCACGCTCTCCCTGGCAGCTGCAGCTGGGGAAGGCACATCCACACGACTGACATGGGAAGGCTGTCCCCAGTGTCCACCACCTCCCCCGGTCCTGCCTGCTCCTCTCCTGTGGCTTTTGAAACGGGGGCAAAGTCTCCAGTTAAAATCCCCGGGAGTATTTTTTTCTTTCCCTTTGGCAGAGTTCACTTTTGGCTCCCTGAATAAAACTGCTGGCCTTCAGCAGGCTGGGTGAGTGATATTCCTCTGTACCGAGCAGCTGAAGTTAGGAATCATAGAATGGTTTGGGTTGGAAAGGACCTTAAAAATCCTCTAGTTCCAATCCTCCCTCCTGCTATGGGCAGAGAACCAAGAGTCTTATTTTTTCCAGTGTGATCAGTTCACCTGTCACAGAAACACAGGATGGCTGAGGTTGACAGGGACCTCTGGAGGTCATCAGATCTAATCCTCTGCTCAAGCAGGGCCACCTACAGCCGGTTCCCCAGGACCATGTCCAGACGGCTTTTGAACGTCTCCAAGATGGGAGACTGTCCCTCTCTGAAGATTTGTGCTTCCTTAGAGCTGGCTATGGGCTGGGTGCACTTTCAGTTACTGAAGTTGGAAGACATCAACTTATCCCTGGTTCCGAAGTGTGCCCAAGTCTGTTTGGTCACTGCCGAAATCCTCAGCACCGAGGTGAGGCTGTAAGCGGATATTGGGATTTACAGATGTGTGAGTCCTGCTGTGGAGGAAACTGTCTGTCTTGTGGTGAAAATGTATTTCTGCAGCGTGGAGAGAAAAGGGAAGAAGTGCAATAGGGTACAAAGGGGAAAAAAAACAGCATAAGTGGATGTGAGCTGGGAGATTTTGTTGGCAAATTTGAGAGGGAGGCAGAGGTAATGCGCAGGGGTGTCAAGGGCCATCAGATGGGCTGTTTTCCATTAACTGGTCACAAGAGAGGCAGTGATGGCTTCTGAAGTGGATTGCTTGAGGTTCAAGAAGAAACGCTTGAAGGATGGGGGAAATGTGTGGGCTCTCTCCTGTGGTGTCCCTCTTCCCCATTGTCTTTTGTGGGAGAAGCTGCAGCCCCCTCCTGGTCCACAGGCTCTTTCCATAACGTGCTCCTGACGCATCCCTCGGGGAGGTGCCGCGGAGGAGGGTGCCCTGCTGAGCCTGCAGCCGAGGGCAGGGGGCTGAGACGCTCTGTGGGTGCATCTCAGTGTGTCCTCTACAACCCGTCCCCAAACCAGCACCTGAGGGCTGAGCTTAAGGGACCTCGATTGCCCCCAGCCTCCGCAGCACAGGGCATCCCACTGCTCAGCTCATGTGCAAGGAAAATGTGGAGAATGGAAACTCAGCCTGTGGTCCCCTGAAACCCTGATGGTGTCTCGTGCTGAGTAATTTCTGTCTACACATGGGTAGATGTGTGTGTTCCTTCACCTGACTGCTGACCCCATCTGACACATGTGGTGTCTCAGCATGGGGGGGGAGGGCCGGGGGGAAACACAGGCAGTCGGCGGAGGTCGGTTCGCAGCCTTTCTGCTGCTGGAGGAGAAGGAAAGGCAGCAGCAATGGGTGATGTGTGCTGGGAAGGGGGTCCCTCAAACCAGGAGTGGCACAGGCACATCGGGAGCAGCCGTGTACCCTGCTGGGGCAGCAGAGCCGCAGGCAGCACCACGTCTCTCCTCTCCTGAACTGCTCAACACTAAACTGAATGATTGCTGGGGATAATCACAGCGGATGTTCAAGACCCTGTTATGTGGCTTCCAATTAATAACCACAGCAAACACCTGAGATGGCGACTGTTAGTGAAACCCACGCAGGCTGTGTAGTCTCTCTGAGATCAAAGCCACTTGTTCACAGTCTCCAAAGCCGTGGGCTGGTTTTGTCACTTAAGTGTGAGCCTGCCGATAGAAGCAGTGGTAGACGGACACATTTGCTTCAGACAGAGGCTTTGCCTCCAAGCTCCAACACGGCAGCTGCCTCCATCCCTCCCTCCCTGTTCCTGCCCTGTGGTCCCCCAGGCGCCTCTTACACTGCTCCCCTGCCCAGTAGTGCCCAGTGATTCCCCGCCACAGTTCAAATAAGGCTGTGTGCATTTGCTCTTCCCCTCCTCCCCCCACCCACTGTGCTCCAGCATCCCCTCGTGGGTCTTTGTCCTCTGAGCACCCTCTTCCTCCTCTTTCGGCCAGTCTCCCATGCCAGCCTTATTCCTCTCCTCATCAGCACCCCTGTACTGGCAGCTGCAGCCAGCATGATTATTTTGTTCCTCCATTCTAGACAGCGAGCTTCAGGTAGCTACAGAAGAGAGCTCTGTGGAGATTGCTGGCGATGCTGACACAGCCATCGAGTGCCGAATTGTGTTTGCCCAGACTAATTCTCAGTTCGCCGTTACCTGGTACCTCCTGCCGCCGCCTCCGGCAGATGCACGCCCCCTGCAAATCCTGAGGGCTGACTACAGCAGCGTACTGGAATATGGGGCTGAGTTCAGCTCTCCTGCACAGAAGTCACGGTTCCTGAGCCAGAGGGTGTCCAGGGATGTTTTCTGGCTGCGGATACTCTCTGCGAACCCCGGGGACCAGGGCAGGTACTACTGCGTGGTGGAGGAATGGCTCTGGCTGGCAGATGGCTGGTACAAACTCGGAGAGGGAGCATCGGGAAGGACCACGCTGGAGTTCAAGCTTCCAGGTGAGCAGGCAGTTATCTCTGGTATAGGCGCTGCTGGAGAAGGTTGGATCAATTTAGGACGGGGCCCCCGCCAGGCCTCTCCTAAGCTGGCAGGGCTTAGGAGAAGCAGTGGTTCCTGTGTTGGATCTGAGATTTAGGGGTGCAGGAGGTGTCAGTGCCTCTCAAAGGGAAATATGGAATTAGGATATTTTGCCACATCCCCTCAAACCAGCTAAGCTGGTATTTTTGCCACTGCCAGGTGATGTCTAATGCTTCATAACAAAGTGAATTGTGGCATTTTCTTTTCCCTCCAACACATGGTATGCTTGGTTGGTTGTACAGTTCTGTGACTACAGAAGCAGCCCTTTCTTGGTACTCCTGAGCACCCTGAAGCAAGACACTCAGTTTTCCTCACTCTGCAGCACATTGCTGCTGAGAACAAGGCTGCAGGCTCAGCTGCTGCAACCGCTGGGGTGCAAGGTGGATCTCACTGGCTCAGTTCTTCCCTCTCTCAGACTCACTTGGCTTATGGGTTGCAGCCCTAAGTAAAGTGGATCAGAGAATTCTAGCTTCCTAAATAGCTTTTGGTCCAAAGGATACCTTATCACTTATTTGGAGGAGGTGGGACGTATTACAGCAGAGGGTTGTGAAGAGGGGGCAGAGGTGATGGGGGCAGGGGGGGAACACCCCAGGGAGGCTGAGTCACAGGAGCAAGGGGGCTGTGGGTGTCCTGCAGAGACTCTTGCAAGAGGCCATCCCGATGATCCCCCACGCTTTGCTCCAGAAGATTTTTGTCAGCCTGTGGGCACGGGCAGGAGCATTTCTATGGAAGAGCAACACCGCGACATCTCTTTCTGCTTACATCCTACCTCAGAGCGTGAACTGCAGCTGGAGAAAACCAACCACAGCATCTCGGCAGGAGAGGGCGAGGAGGTGACGCTGCACTGCCTGCTGCAGGGTCCCTGCCTGCCCACCACCCACCTCTCGGCCACCTGGTTTCGGCGGGAGGAGAGCGGCCGCATCAGGCCCCTGCTTACCCTCCGCCGCGACGGTGCCATCGAGTACCCCTGGGAGAACCTGGCAGGGAGGCTGCACCTCCCCCGCCCCACCGCCGGTGACTTCAGCCTGACGCTGCGCAGCGTGGAGGAGGGCGATGCCGGGGTGTACTACTGCCAAGTGCAGGAGTGGCAGCAGCAGAGCGAGGGGAAGGACTGGGCTCTGCAAGCCTCAGCGTGCTCCGGGTACACGCAGCTCACTACCACCTCGCCAGGTAACGCCTCTGGGTGCGAGGGGCTGCTCACCCCAGCACCAGTTCCCCCTTAGCTGTGCTGGGGGTTGTGTGTGTGGAGGGATAATGGCAGCTCTCTGCTGGCGATGCTGGCTGCAATGGCAGGGATGCTGCATGGCCAGGAGGACTTGCCAAGGGATTGCAGAGGGGGTCAGTGCTGGGGTGACCACCAGAGTTGTGTTGGGAGCTAGGGGAGCCCTTCGAGGGACGCGTGCTGTGGGTCTGGTGGGGGAGGCAAGGAGATCCAGTCCCAGTCCCATTGATCTGCCAGGAAACCCAGGAGTTTGGCATTGTAAACGTTGGGAGGTGGTGGTCAGATGAGATCCCAAGAGCTCTGACTGTGAGGCACATGGCCCAAAGGGTACCATTGAGTGCACCTGTGTCTGCAGCACTTTGTTGGCTCTGCAGGACGGTGGGTACAAACCCTTGCCCTCAGTTGTGCCATTGGGGCCAGAATGCTAATGGTTTGGGGGAAAAAATCTTGGTGTGATGTTTCTGGCAAGTCCACCTCCAGTGAGGTCTCTAAAAAACAGCCTTTGTCCTCTTGGGGGTGAGTTGGGGTGCGTGCCGGGTGTAAAAATAAAGCTGGATTCTGCATACAGAATTTTAAATAAAAAAACTAAACAAAAAAAAAAAAGGAAAGGGTTCAGTCAGGCACACACAGGGTTTTTTTAAGGAGGTAGCAGGCAGGAAAAAAGTATGCTCTTGTTGCCTCTTTGGGGAAACAGGAGCCTTGGATGACCCACGTGGAAAAAAAAATATGGATAGTGAAATCAGTTGTGTTGCACCCAGCTGAGAGGATCTGGCAGTTCTTCTCATGCCTTCAGCCGTGGCATTGCCATGCCCGAAGCCAGCCTGGGTACCCACATGTGGTTATAGCTTCTGCAGCAACTACTGACGCCAACTGATGTGGAAGAGCTCAGGGGGACCCCGTGGAGCCCTCCCTTGTGCCTGCTACTGGCACAGGCAGGCACAGAGCCTACTCACATGACTCTGCACCTACAGCAAAACTAATCTGGATTTAATTGCACAGGGAGGGACTGACAGCACTTCATCCCCCTGCTGTTATGTTCCTGCCGTTGTCTGTCAAGGCTCCCTCTAGCACTCAGATTTCTCCTTCATCAGCTCCCTCTGTCTTGCGTTACCCATTACTGGTGGAGTAACCATTGCTAAAATTGCTCAGTAACTGCTGGAAAATTCTGCTCCAATTTTTGTATAAGTGGTTTTGCCAAGTGGTTTTCATGTTTTTCACAAAATCCAAGAGGTGTGTTTTTTCTTACTTTCTTCTTTTTTTTTTTGGGGGGGTGTGTGTGTGTGTTTCTCCAGTGATGCGGGTATCTCAAAATGCTCCTCTGCCTCATGAATTTCAGTATTATGGAGTTTTCTGAGGGGTAATGACACAGCCATGTGCAAGTATACCCGTAATCAGGAGTAACTTCAGCTCTAATCCTTGATACTGCCCTTTAGGATACCTCTCTAATACTACAGAGGCATTCGTGTAGTGGAGACTTCTCTCTGTTTTCCTATGGAAGAGTAAATGCTGCTTCCATTTATATTAATGGGGTGCAGAGCTTCACAGGCAGAGAGGTAAAAGCCAGTTTCACAGCCAGGAGTAACCCCCGGGTTGGTTCATCCCTAGGGTCACAACTAGCCCACCAGGCTGTATGGGTCCCCCACAAACAGCTTCAAATCAGCAGACCTCTGTGCTCAGCATCTGCATATGGATCTTGGGTAAAGGGGAGAAGAGAGGAACAACAATTTGAGTTGGATAAAATAGACCCAAAGGAGTTGGCATGACCCTTCATGGTAGGCCAGCTGCATCTGAGGTCAGCCTGTGGTGTTGAAGCTATGCGTCAAGTGAGGAGATTTTGATGGCCAGGATTAATGGGTGGCTGTAAGTTGTCCAGGACAATGGAGAGGTTCAAAATGAGAGCTTTTCAGCTAGCATGGAACCGACCAAACATGTTTTTTGAAGTACCCAGAGGGTCCACCAGCAGTACAGGCAGCCTCAACCTGAACTGGGGACTCGTTCTGCAGGAGCTGTGAGGGACAGTATGGGACTCACAGCTGCCTGCAGCTCAGTGTGGCTGAAATAGGATAGCAGAGTGGCAAAAAGAAGGAGGGGCAAGTGTTTGGGGGAGACAGGGACCTCCTTGATCTGGTTTCCTTTGCTTTCCTTTTGTCCCTCCTTGTTCAGTGGTGCAGCCTCTGACAGATGTCTACCGTACCCCACTGTTGCTGGTGTCAGGCGAGGACCAAGGGGGTGCAGGATATGTGGCTTTTCCTTACCGAGCCCGGTCTGGAACTGATTACTTCAAGAGCCGTGCTGTTTCAGTTGGGATGTTTTAACTGAGTGATCTGGGGCCCTACCTGACCTCCCAAAACAAGAAATTGAGGCAAATTACCTGGTTTCTCTTGCCATTCTCCTCATGTAACGTGTATGATTTTTGAAAAATTGGTGGGTGTTGAAGATTGAGGGAAAAGCGGTAAGAAGATAACCTATAGAAACAGTAGGAGAGAGAAACTCAAACTAGCTTGGGGCCTTGCTTACTTTATTCTCTTTCTTTTTTCCTCTAGAGTCAACTGTTTTGTCTAGGATCTGCTCAACCCCACCACTGCTGAACTTCATCCTATACTTACCGCTGGTTCTGATCCTTCTGCTGGCCCTTGCTGTCTTCTGCTGGTACTTCAAATTCAGAAAAAGCAAGAAGGGCAACATCACAGGAGACCAGCTGATGGAACTGCAAGGAGCTGGAGGGGTTGAGAAGAGTTAGCTGGTCTATAATGGCAGGTGTAACTTGAAGGAGCAGAGCTGGACAGCTGAGGAGGACCGAGTACTTGCAGAGGGGCTTTTTATTGTTTTGTAGTAGCTTTTGCAATGAGTCCTTGAAATTGCGTGTTTACTTTCGGTGGAACAAAGCAGCTTTGAAATACTTAGCAAATAGGGCTTTCTTTACAGGTGTTCCTGTCTCTTAGGTTAGGTACCCACCCGTTTCACACTCTGTTCATCATGGTATATCTGAGGTCCTTGCAGTATCTCTCCCACTGTGGATGGAAATGGTGTTATTCCTTTACAGGTATAAGGGGAAAACCAGCTCTTTTTGCACTGCAAAAGTATGAAATTGCTACTCTTTGTAGGTGACTTGACAAAATCTATGTGGTGTGCAGGCTAAAAACCAGTGGGAGAGCTGGAAATGGAGTATTGCAGTCTAAATACAGTTGCCCACCCTTTGCTGTGGAAGCTCTCAGACACTGCTGTCCCTTTGTTCTGAGGGTGCCTGTGCCCAAAAATCATCTTCTTTGAAAGAAAATGGGTCTTCACCACAACACATGTCACGGGAACATGAGGACTGAGCAAGACTGGCTGGGGTGAAGGAAGTCCATAGCAGGGGTAGCACTGCCATCCACAGAAAACCAATCCTGTTGACCCAATGAGGGACTTGCATGGAGTCATGGATCCCAGAAGGAAGAAGTGGACACCAAGCCATCTTGGAGATGAGTGCACAAAGACTTTACAGCTCCTTCCTTTGCTGGGGCTGCTGTAGTTGAAGACAGCATCCAGCCCCTCGGGCCTGGACTGTCTGGCTCAGGAAGCTGCATGACTGGGACCTGGTAGTAGACATCTCCAGGTTGTACCATGTAACAAAACCCCCATGTGTGTGCTTGCGGGGCAGCTCCTCTGTGCTCTGGGATCCTGCTCAGGCTCACTTTTTCAAGGCTGAGGAGCTCTGCTACCTGAAGGCTGGCTTCCTGATGCATTAGAGGAAAGGAGATTTTAATCCAGTCCTTGTAAATCAAGGAATCCTCAACCCTTAATTGTGCAAAGTGGGATGTGGTCCCAGCAAGTTGTGAGGCATCAGTGCAACACTCGAAGCACTGTGCTCAGACAAAAGCAGCCGTATGGAAATCATGGCAGATGTTTATGAACCTGCTTCCTTTGACCAGAGGGAGGGCTGGAGACACCACAGCCCCTCTAGATAATCTGTTCAAGCCCTTCACTTTCCTTACAATTAGAAAAGCTGCCTGCCCTGTATCCCAAGGAACTGGGGAGCTGCTTTGGTCCCTTTCTCCTTGAAAAAGCACTTTTTGTGTAAGTTTGAAGACTACTGCTCTTGTTTCCCTGTTCAGTCACCTCTGTCTGTACTGGCTGGCTCCGGCTTGCTCAGCCTTTCCCTGTGGGTTATGTTTTCTGGACCTCGTGCGGCTTTTCCCTTTGCCCTGACCTGAGCTGTCTCTCCCACGGCGTGAGCGCTCAGAGCTGCACGTGGGGTTCTCTGCAGAGGTTTCCCCCCTGCCTTGTGGGTTATGTCCCATTTACACATCCCAGTAGGATGTTTGATTTTCTCTGTGCGTGTGACAGCATGGCACTGTTTGCGCTTGGCTCGCAATCGGCAGGCTCCTCTCCTGCAGATTTGCTGTCTAGCAAGTTGTTTCTCCACGGTGTGTTCAGGCTGTTGACTCTTCCTATCTAATTGAAGCACCATTTGCATGGGTATGTTGAACAGCTTTCTGCACCGGTTTGTAAAAGATCCCACTGTCTGTCTTAATTCTGTCGCGATAATGCTTTAACTCATGGACCAGTTTCAGTCTGTTTTGACAGAGAAGCAGATGCTCCTAGGACGTTAAACTCCTACAAGTTTCATGAAAAGTGGTAGCTGGATGAAGGAGGAGGCGGCAGACGAGTTGTCCCGCTAAGGGAAGGCTACGGTGCGAGCTGCCTGACAGCCAGCCCCGAGCCAGCCGTGTGCCAGCTGCCTGGCACCCAGCTCATAGTTAGGGGATACAGAAGGGAGATGTAGGTGTGTTAGGACGTGGGAAAGGAAAGAAGGAACCATTTTTGACCATAAACTATTAACAATTAATCTCTGCGTGTAGTTTATCTGCCAGTTTTGTGCTGTCCCTCGGTGTTTTCGTTTGGATTGTTTCCTTAGCTTGCCCATAGCAGTACGTTGGGAGCATACTCCACAAGCCCTGCTAAAGTCAAGAATACGTGATACCTACTGCTTACCCCTTCTCACCAGTCTTGCAGCCTTCTTGTGGGGGAGATTAGATAGGTCTGACATGCTCTGTTCTTGTTTAAAACAAACCCCCCAAAAAGTTTATTTTCTTTTTTTCTTGCATTCTTCTAGTTGCTTGTAAGTACTTTGTCCCTGTATCTTCCTGAGGATTGCAGTTAAGAAGATGTGTTCAGTTTCCCCTTCTTGTTAAAAATAATTTTGCCCTTTCCTTGTCACTTGGTGTCTCACACCTCCTCAGGTGTTACTGCAGAAAACCACTATCAGACAGCTCGACAGCCCATTCTATATGTGTCTTAGGCTGGTCTTGATGAGGTTCATCCTTCTGCTCAAAAATCTAACATATTTAGGTTGCTACTCATTACTAGAGTGCTGGGCTGGTGGCATGGGACAGCCCCTACCCTGCTGCAGCAGTTGCGTGCGTGGGTGAGTCTCCATAAATCGTGTGAGCCCTATGAGTCACCTGGCTGGGTTTGATGCATCCCCCAAGCCTGCGCTGGCCCCTCACTCAGCCACCTCGGCGCTCCGCTGCAGGTCTGTGGAGGTGTCTTTGCTGCCATCTGACCTTCACGTAAAAAACTGCGGACTCTACTGCAACATGAGATTTTTGTGTCTGGTGGGCTGGGGGAAGAAGGAGGGCAGAGAGAGGGAGTTTTCTTCATCAGCGGGGCACTTTCTTCTTCTGTCCCGTTTTTGCTCAGTTAACCAGAGGCCTATGTAAGCAGCAGCTTTCTATTCACGCAGGTTTAGAGGTTTTAATTTAAGTTTGTAAAGTGTGCCTAGGGCCTTGATGAAAGAGTCTGCAAGAATAATGTGTGTTTTTGCAGTGGCGGGGATTTTTCCTCTATTTTTTTTTTCTGGCTTTGCTGGATCACCGCCAAACCTTTTGGCTATATTTTTTAAGATGTATTATTTTCCATGAGTGAACTTAGAAAGAGTTGTAACTTATCACAGCAAAAGCTCCCAAACAGTCCTATTTTTAAAGAGAACATTTCACTCGGTTGTGGTAAATGTGTGAGAGGGAGAGAGAGGGGTGTGTGTGCATGTGGTGGGTCAGGGAATGGTGTTGATATTGCTACCGGGGCTCTTGACCACCTTCACCCACCTCCATCGCCACCTTTTTTCCAAGTCCAGCCTCTGATGTAAATTAGAACAGCTGATAAAATATATATTTAGCTGTTATAGTCCTGTGGGGGGAAAATGGTGCAACAGAGCAGACCCTGCAGCACGGCAGTGCCCCTGTCGCACCCCATCCCCAAGATGCGCCCTTGCCCAGGGGATGCCCTGTGTGAGGGCAGTGTGTGGTGGGAAGGACCGGGGTTCTTTCATAAGCTTTAAAGCAGCTTGAAGGGGCTACAGGGCAATGCAGAGCTGGGTCCAAGAGGAATTAATCCACTAGGAAGCGCTTGCACGTGGCTATAGAAACACAAGAGCTGTGTTGTGGGCAGGCCCTCACTATTCAGAAGATGGATAGCGTGAGGGTGGGATGGGTGGGAATGTAACCCCTGTGTTGTGTTGCCTTCCTGGAGTGCTTTTATGGCACCTGCCTTTGGGCAGGGGCAAGGCCAGTGCTCAGTGACTGCCGGAATGGTTTGCCCAACGTGCAATGGGACAAAGGATTGCACCAGTGCCCCTCTCACCTTGCACTGAGGACCTTTCACTGCCGGGATCCTCTATCCCATGAGAAGAGAGGGTGGGTGATGAGTTAGTTGCTGTGCAGGAGTGGTGGGAAGTGGCTTGCAAGCCAGGAGATACTTTGCATCCTCTGGCAGCCCATGGCTCAGGGTTCCCTGGCCTGCCCTGCTCCAGAGTGCTGTCCTGTGTGGCCAGGGCAAGGTTGTTGAGGAAGGTTGCCAAACTTCTCAAGAAATGCTTCCAGACAAATGACTCTGAGTTCTCCTGGCATGTCTCCTCTCGAGCAGCATCTCTTCATTCCTTCCTATTAACTCTGAGTTGGTTTTGAAATTTGACATTCTTTTTTTTTTTTTTTTCCCTGTGATGAAATATTTAAGAACTGGAAATAAAAGATGCAGTTTTGGTATGTGCTTTAGTTTCATTTGATGCCATTTTGCACTCCAGCTGGTTCCCACAGCTCCTGCTTGTTCCGTGTGTCCTTCGGCCTTGGTCTTTGGCACCTAAGACAAAGCAGAAACGCTCCTGGGACTCTAAACCTTCCTTAACCACTAAAAGCCTGCTGCATCATATCTGCCTACTGCTGGCTTTTTGGTCCTTCTCCAATGTTGCTCCTCCCCCCTCTTTTCTTCCAGAAGGTACTATGAGATTACAGTCCTGTTGCAAAAGGGCAGGAAAAAGCAGCCCTTGCCCTAGAGCGATGCTTTCCCAGGCAGAAGCAGTACAAACCATGGAGCTCAGGGTGGGAAGGATGCGCGAGAGGTAATGGGCTGTCTGGCTCGCTTTGCGACCGCGGCAAGCGGGAGGGACCAGCTCAGCCTTCTCTCAGCTAGCTGCAGTTGCCAGCAAAGAGGCTGGTTGTGGTGGTGTGGGACTGACAAGATTAATGGTTCCCTACCTGCTTGGGCATTAAAAAAAAAAGAAAAAGATAAAAACGCTTTCATGGACATTGTTTAAACCAAACAGAAGTGTGTTTCCCTAGCAGGGAAAAACTATTTAGAAATGCAAACTGGCAAGCGAGGTCCAGACACCGCTTGCTTCTGCAATCCAGACAGGAAACAGAGTACCACAAGTAACAAATTTGAGCATGTGCTCACCTGGGCTTTCTTGCTTTCCTTCATTCATTA